ATGAAATGGATATAGAAATTGAAAAAACTTCTGCACAAGTTCTGAATTTAACACCATGTGTGATTATTGATTATGATGATCAAGGTAAGATAAAATGCTGTAATAGCATCACCAATCTACAGCGATTGAGACAAATGATAGGAATATAGGAAATAGATGCATATGTAGTCGAAAGTATTTAAAGCGATAATATGACAAATCTACAGCAAATGCGAAAAACAGTAGAAACATGAGAAGAAGACACCCATGTTCTCAATTGACTTGGTGTATGCTACAGTCATTTTCAATTTGATCAGAACTAACTTCATGAGCCAGGCATGAAGCAGTCATGCTCGATTGACAAAAGTATTGTTTATTTTTGCATTTGTCTTTTTTGTAATAAGAAAAAATGTTTTTTAGTTATGGCAGCTGTTGTACACAACATTCATAGAATGTAAATAAACAAAATATTCAAGTACCTTGTATTGGTATTTATGATTGTCTTACATTTTCTGATAGGCATATTACAAAAAAATCATTTTCCGGTATTGTGCATATTATATCTGCTCAGAGTACTTCTAGCAAAACGGTGGACATCTGTATGAAAGACCCTGCAAATTTAGAAAATCTCAATCATGTAAACTTGAAAAACATCAAGATAATGCTAGGATGCTCTCAAGCTTATTGGAAAATAGTTAATATTAGTAGCGAATTCAGATGATTACAAACTACAAAAAAAACTTCTATTTCAAGTATCCCTATTATTAACTATTTTTAATAATGAAACAATAGATACAAATTTAACTGAAACTGAAATAGCAAAGTTTTTAAGCAAATTAGTTGTTAGAATAATAATGAAAATGAGAAAAATCGAATTGAATAGATTAATCAAAGAAAGACCTTGCATAACTTTAGAAAAGACTTCGCTCATAGGAAAAAAACTAGAAAAAGAAATTTTATATTTATGTCCTGAAGTTAAAGAAAACATAAATCAGTTAGAAAACCCAAGCTCATATGAAGATTACTTTAACGCACTGCCTACTAATATTCGTATCTTTTTTCAAGCCCTTCTCACAGTATTGCAACAACATAAACAAAAAATTGTTTACAATAAGAGGCTTCAACGCGGACTTCCTCTAAAATCGTATAATATAAATCAGATAATGAAAACTACTACTTTACTATCTTCGATGTTACTTACTAATACCTTTCCGGGTATAAAAATTTGGGTCACAAATATTATATCATTAATATGCCAAAATCCTAAATTATCGCCATGTTTACGGAAAATTCTTTGTTTAGCATCTGTTATCGCATATAGTAAAAGATATGAAAATCGTCTTGAAAGCTTAAGAATATGTTATATAGACCCCAAAAACAATCTAATCGAAGGGTCAAATATTTGGAACCTGGCAGTAATTGATAATATTGATTTTAAAACTTCTATATTCTCATATAGCAATATTTTTGATATCGAATGACAAACTTCATATACAACATTACGAATAGTATTCCAATTCATTCTTCCTATCTCGCTTGACCATTCAGTTGAGAATTATGAATCCATTGATCAACCGTTGTTTGGAGAATCCTCAACAACCAACAATTTTTTAATGATATATGAAACTACCTTGGATAAAATATTAGAGAACTATGTAAGTGAATTTGAAATAGAAGATATATACTTTGAAATCACTAAACAAATACCTCTTGGCTGCAACATTCTACCACCAAAAGTTGTGATTTTAAAACCTGGTGATTTGCCTAACTGCAATGATAATATTCATATAGTATGTAATATATATCGTGACGATTTACCTCATAGTTATGATGAGTATCTATATATCGCCTGTGATCAAGCAATTTTTGGCAGGTTAATTTCTTATAAAGAAACTCACCAGGATGTTCGACTCCTTTTGGGGCAGTAGTATACATCTAAAGACATGTGCTGCACTTTAATCACAATATTTTCTGGATATTGAATATTTAACCTTGCGGCAATTCTTGGAGTAAAATACCTAGAAAAATTTGAACATATTGTAGATTATCGAGCAAGGGTTTGGGTCAAAATCCCGACAAACAGAATCCTGACAGGTCATAATCCTGACAAAATATCTGACAATCAAAAATCCCAACAAACATTCTGACAATCAAAACATCATGACCAAACCCAGTATGATCTACGTAGCAAATTTTACTATCTTGTCGTAATATATATTTTTATTTATTATAGTAAATACTACTGACTAAAAGACTTCCCTATTTTAATACCTTCAAGGTCTGGAATGTATTGTGCCTGGGACTAATGATTAAATACCCTGATACTAAAGATCGATTACTTATGCTTGGAATATAAAAATATGCAACTTATACCTGCTCGCTAATCATAATATCCCTCCGACTATAATGCTCACATATACAGCTTAAATTGTAAAGTACCCTGGGTATTTTAGTCCACACTATACGGTAACAAAATGCATAGTTTAAGCCAAGTTTTAAAAGCTTTTATTTAACCTTTTTTTTCTTTGTTTTTAGAAGCTTTCATTGTTGTTTTGAATGAACTATTGCTGTTGAAGTTATCATTGCCGGAGATGTCAGTATAATCGATGATTTTGGTGTTGTATAGCCTGGACTTGCTACTTCTGAAGCTTTTTCGGGCAGATCTTTTTGTTAGCTTTCACGTTTTTTAGTATCTTGTAGTTCTTGAAATTGTTATTTCTGGAGTTCGTTCTTGCTGCAATTTTCTAGTGGTGTGGATTTTAGTTGTGTTGGTATGAATTTCACATTTACTCTGCAGCTGAAATAGATTTTGACATTCATTTTGCCGTTAGCATTTATTTAATATGTCATTATACCAGGTATCCTTTATGATGTTGATAGAACTGTCTTTCAAGTCTGGTTCTTAGCAAATATCTATATTGTCGCTTTTATATTACTTTTCTGTCTTGTCAATGACTCTACTAACCGTACCATTTCTTTTATTCGATGTATTAAAGGTAAGATATCACTTTTTGTTTATTTATTCACATTTATTTGGTATATCAATATACTGATCCTTTATTAATCAAAGTATTTAAAACACTTACTATAGTATCCCGAAATAACGGCCCAGGGTATATGTAGATTGAAGAGAGCTAGTAATTAATTTAGCCAAGTGAGAATCATAATCTTTTGTTATTAAAATTCTTCGACTAAATTAATTATTAGCTCTCTTCAATCTACGTACACCTCTGGGGCGTTATTTTGGGATAATATGGTATTTCTTATTCATGTAATTAAGATAAGTATTCACTTTATACAGTTTTATTATTGTCAATTTTCATTAATTTAGTTTAAAACGTGAGTACTAATTTGATGAAAATATTTAATATTAGATATTTGTTTTATTGGGCATAAGCTACATCTCAGGATTTTGGATGGTGGTTTTCGAATTTGTAGTTATACATCGATTTCTTTTAATAAGGCTTTTAATCTTTTAATTATTCACTTTATTTGATTATAGCGGCTTATGCTGAGATTGGCTTGTGCCGAGTTTTGAGGTTTCTATTTAAATCTAGAATATCCACATATACTATTATTAATTACTAACCCTAATTCTAATCTAGGCTACAAAAAAGACCAAAAATCTATAATTTCATAATAAAATAAGTCAACTTTTCAATATGAGCCAATCTCAGCAAAGTTGCCACATTTATTATCGAAATAGTTTGCCGAATATATTTAATTTAATTTTATACGATGTTAGATGCAATACATGATAACTTTTTATTTGTTATCACTATTTTTTAGCTCTTTAAGTGAATATGTATTGGGAGAGTAAATATAGAGATACGCAAG